GTTTTTTGTCATAGACTAATCGTCGTATGGAGGCATCAGTTCAGTACCATAATGTCCAAACAGCCCAACGAAGAACCAAGCAAATGAAAGAACAAGATCAGAATCAAGCAAACAGAAGAAATATCAATCTTGTGCTGGATCTAAGCCTCTCAATCAAGGATATTGATCAAAACTCCGGCCCGGAACTCAATCTTTTAGACAAAAATCTTTCAGAAAATCCGTCGAATAATGATCCAAGTCCTCAAGGTAATGAATCCGGACCACCTTTTTTTTCGTGCAACTATTGCCAAAGGAAATTCTATAGTTCCCAGGCTCTAGGAGGCCATCAAAATGCTCATAAGCGCGAGCGGACCATCGTGAAACGTGGGCCCCGCTTTGGTGGCGCCGCCTCTCGTAGCCGCGACCGGTATTTGAACATGGGTTTTCTGCCACTGCATGGATCATTGAATAGGTCTCTTGGGATTCACGTGCACTCTACAATTCATGAGCCAACTTATTTAGCATCATCCACTACATATGGACAACATGGCTGGTCTAGAAAGCCTCTTGATCAGCAACCAACGATCAGGCGGCTGGCAGCACAGAATCATCACGTTGGCAGTTCATCGAATGGCGGAGCAGCTAGATTTGACACTGTTCAGAAGTTCTCGTTAGGGGTCAACGGCATCGGAATACACAGATGGAACAGTACTGGTCCTCCTATGAAGACTAATCAAGAAGAGCAGAAAAAGTTAGACTTATCCCTTAAGCTCTAACTGCATCTTTGGTACCGGACTCAACACTAATAACGAGATAATTGCTTCTTAATTTTTCTTCTTGAACAATGTTCCCCACTAAACGTATCCTTAGTTATGTTCATATTCCTGCAACCTCCGGTCCGCAACCTCACCTCCACCCTGGAAATAGTTAGCAAAGGACAGATTAGAGACTGTTTTAGCTGTAGAGAATTTTCTTGAACTTGTATCGAGATTCAGCATTATGGGACAATTAAATCATGTATCTTGGTCAGATTCAAGATTTTTCCTTGAAGTTTTTATCGAGCAAAAATTTTAAAGGCTAAACGTTATCTTGTTGAATTTTTAGTGAAAATTTTGAATAATTCAAGTGAACATATTCATATTTTTTTTATTCCACAATAATGCAAAATATGAACAGGAATATTTCATGCCTAATGATAAATACTTTCACGTGAACCAACTCGATATAATTCAATATGGATTTCTTTTACATGACAATGCATAATATCTGCAATCCGTACAGTTTAATTTGTATATAATACATAGGAGAAAATTTTCACAGTAGTCAATGTTAATTTTTAAATATTTCGTTTAATTTACTTTTGTTAAAAGGTCAAATGTTCAATATATTTCATTTTGTTCTACAATTATTATTTTTTCTTTTTTTGTAAAGATGGTTTAACTAGACCAAACCAACAATTGGATCCAATTAGTCGAGTACCATATCATAGCTATACTTGATTGCGCAACCCTGAAGTTTAGTACTCAACTAGCTCGACAGTTAGTGTTACAATCCACATTTTTATCTAGTCAAAGTCAATAGTGAAATTTTCAAGGTCAAGTCAAATGAGGATTTGTATGAAATAAATCATTTTTATTGGGACTTGATTGACCAAATCATTTTATTTGGGTTTATTTTGCAATTGACAAAATATGA